AGTAGTAGTAGTAGTAGTAGTAGTAGTAGTAGTAGTAGTAGTAGTAGTAGTAGTAGTAGTAGTAGTAGTAGTTTTATTATTATTCAAAAAACGAGGAAACTTACCAATCAAAATGAGCAGCAGATCCGACACGGCCAGGCTGAAAAGGTAGTAGTTGGTCGTGGTCTGCATAGAGTGAGTCTTAGCGATGACCAAGCACGTACACACGTTGCCCACCACTCCGGACAGGAAGATAATCGAGTAGACGATGGTCAACAGAATCACTGAAGCCAGGTCTCGACGTCGGGGCCCCAACTTCTCCAGGAGTAATTGTGTGACGTCAGTCGTGTTGTTCTTGAACTGGGCGACTGTCTCATTGCTGTACCAGCTGTCGACTTCAATGAGCTCCATGGCGTTTTGTTGTTGGTTTAGTTACGACGCCGCAGTTCCCATGCATTCACAATGCGTAGTTCGGATTCCCGTTTGAAAACATAGAGTTAACACTTCTGGAGACCACCACGATTTCTCAGGAATTACGAAATAAAACTAAGTTTCATTAATTACGAGTGCCCGTAAAAAAAGCAAATTCTAGTTCTTTGATCTGGCCTGAACCGGTATCCTTACAGAAGATAATAAAAGCAGTATCTTTGAAACTGTTCTTTAAATATTGTCTTTTGTGTCAATAAGAATGAATTTGATATTATTTCAATTCTGTAATTGCACTATTTACTCTAATTTTAACCTTGCTTTTATATCAAACAACTCTTAGCAGTCTTCAGAGTGCCTGGCCTGATTTCTCAGATTCAGGAAGCTAAATCCGATTCAGGGCCCCCAAGTAATATAAAATAGTTTCTCGTCTATTCAGAAGGAGATACAGACAGGTATGCAGTCTCTTTAGATCGTGTTTTCAAATTGAACTGACTATGTTTTCGGCGCGTAATATTTTCTTTTGTTATGCCCGTCGAAGTGTGCAAGATTGATCACTTAGAATTAGCTGATATTCTTGCCAAACCAAAGTCTCTCTCTTGAAAGACAAGTTTGAACAACACGTTCTAAAATTATATGAAGTTGTGAGGCTGATACTCTACATGTGGCTATATGCACGGCTATATGACATCACAACAGGACATGTGGCTGATTTAAGACAAAAGAAACGATCACTATACAGCCTTCAACAATCTCCACTCGATCACATCACTAGAGCAGCAATTCCTTCAACAAACTTTCATATTATTCTCCGTCCTACCAAATCCCATTTATTAATGCAGAAACCAAATAGGCTGTATCTGATCTCATCAGCCAATCTATATAAAACGAAAACCAACGTGAATTTAATGAATAGCAATCCCGAAATCAGATCCAATCTGTCACTCCAGAGAACATGCTTGCTCCTTCCAATTCTGTCCAGATATCCAGAGAGAGGTACAGGTTTTTTTTTCTCCAAACTGTTATTTAATCCACGACACATCCGTTTGACAAATAATTCTGAAAATGACAATGTGACTTCATTATGTTACTAGTTAAATACCTAGACTGTTGTATGTTGTACTGTATTGTAAAGCGCTCAGAGCATGTGTACTTTATTCGGGGCTGAGCGCAAATGTCATTTATTATTATTATTACTACAGATTCACTGAAATGAGAAGCTGTGCTCATTTTTTTCTGAAATGTACTTTACATATATGAATGGAACTAAATTATAGAAGTCCTCATGTACACAAAAAAATGAGTCCGTGTTCCCTGTTGAAATACATTCACGATGTGGTATTCAAAGCCATGTTTGGGATCCGGAATCGATAAACGCACTCCGAGTAATACTATGCTCTGAGTTTATGTTCAGAAACGGAAAACAAAATTATTCAATTACTCCACACGCACACACACACACACACACACACACACACACACACACACACACACACACACATATACATACTTATAAACATCACATTATTTGGTGGACATACATATTTTAGAATAACGTCAATGATGCTGTAATATCATGCTTTTAACTCACCTGTCAAAATACTTTAGAATAGAAATAATATCATTCTTTGAGTCCGAAATAAACAACACGGCACAATTTCAAACGGCTTTTGGGGGGTAGCATATTATTATTTAGTGCATCCACACCTTCTGTATGTGTCGCCCGCTTATGTGTCTCCATTGTCGGTACCCGTTATATCAATGTATATAATATACGAATCTGATCTACACCTTGATGTCCTACATAAAAATCTAGAAAAGATTCGATATTTTTGCCGTGGTCACCCGCGAATAATTCCTGTCACATGGTACTCTGGCGTTGGCAGGACTTGGAAACAACCGTCATAAAACTGGCCTATCCAGTGTCTTGCAAGTTACTGAGCTTCAACAGGTGAAGGTAGCTTCTTTTTTAAAGAATTTTATTTACAAATCAATAGTTTTTATAAGAAGACGTAAAAGATAACGAAGACACAATTCACAAAGAAGTATTTGCTGGTGGAACGTCGCAAGCGCGCATGAAGTGCAAAGACCCCACAGACTTACTTACAGCGTTATAATTAAAGTCTAAGGTGGGCCGGACCTACTCGTACAATGAAACATTCCTGGTGCTGTTGTCGTAGTTCCCCTCCAGGGATAAGCTCGAGAGATCTCCGGTTGTAACGACGTACTGTTTTCTTTGCTCATTGAAGCTTCAAGTCGGGAGGATTTGCTGGCTTCTCCTTCCCTCCATCCCTCCAACACATCAACCTTGTCGACTACACCCGGTGCACTGATGCGATGAGATGGCGCAACTGTAGGAGGAAAATAACAAACTGGAGTGGTTATTTTTATTACATTCTTTGAATTAGTCTGAAGCTTAGTGGAAAAGAAACGGATGTTATAGAGTTGGTATTCGCAAATTCTACAAAGGCAAAACTGAGGAAAGGAAAAACAAGATCTTGAAGCTTTGCTTTGTGCCACTGAAATACTGTTTTTTGTTTACAGGTAAATGCAAAGCGATTGGGTGCGCTTCTGAGTTGAAAAGGTTGATTGAAAAAATAAATATGTTTGTTTATTGATGTAAAAGAGAGTTGAATAAACACGATAAAGGCCAACTGGTTCGTATACAACATGGAAAAGAAAGTTATATGTGTGAAGACGTGGTGGAATAAGGCGCTCATCAATTTATGAGTTAATGGGGGGTAAAGGTATCATCTAAAAACCTGTTCATTTGCCTTGCTTTCAGTGACCAGAAGTCAAGATATTTGCAATTGAAGGAGGTGGGGGTCGCCTAGGTGTCAGAGATAAATTTAGAGAGAAAATGGCCGTCAATGTTTGGTTTGGAAACTGCTCATTTGCATTTGTTGTGCCTTTTTCATCAAATAATTTCATAAAAGAAGGAAGATAAATAGGTTTTGTTAATAGTGCTGAGCCAAAAGTTTAGAAATTTGACAAAAATTGTGGGATGGAAAAATGTCAGGTTCTTTTTATTTCATTAACTTGACGAGCACCTGGTTCCACCAGCCTTCGACACATATGAAAAAGTAGCTTATTGCAGAAAACTGTAAAAATATCAGACATTGTTGTTTTTTTTCTATCACTGTCCCGTCATCTTCGCTGTTGTTTTCGTTGCTATCTTTCGTTATTGTTTTGTTTCTTTTAATTTGTGCTATGTATTTTGAAGATTTTGGGGCGTTTTGTGGCCAATACTGGAAGATTGAGTTCTTTTTCCAGTGAGAAATGATGTAACGATGAAGAGCCAGGAGGAGAGGAAAGAGAGATAAATAATTTAAATCGAGTTGAAAATAAATATCCCACCGATTGTGGCTATTAACAATATTGCTGTGAAGCTGGAAGTAGGCTGTGAATCTCAACACAGGAGAACAAAGAAGGCATCAGCTTACGAGAGCTTGTAGACAGGAAAATCACAATAATACTAATAATAATAATAATAATAATAATAATAATAATAATAATAATAATAATAATAATAATAATAATAATATTAATAATACATGGAAGGCATGGCGATACAGGAAAGAAAAGCTTCAAGAAAAGAATAGACGGTGCGGGGGGTGGGGGGGGGGGCGGTGTGGCTGAAAATGAGTAGAAGGACAGACAAAAGGTTTGAGAGAAGAATAGAGGGTGGGAAGCATTGAAATTGAGTGAAAAGACAGAGAAATAGGGAGGGGCACAATGAGCTAGAGAAGAGACGGAAAGACGAAGGAGAGCATGACGATGAATAGTAAAAATTGAAGTAGCGTATGGAAAAGAGACAATGGGGGGGGGGGGAATAAAGAGAGAGAGAGAGAGAGAGAGAGAGAGAGGGGGGGGGAGAGAGAGAGAGAGAGAGACAGACAGACAGACAGACAGACAGACAGACAGACAGACAGAGAAAGAAAGCGAGAAAGAAAGAAAGAGAAAGAGAGAGAGGGAGAGGGATAGATAGATAAAAAGAGGACGATATGAACGATATGAAGAGAAAGATAAGGGAAAAAATAAGTTTTATCTTTTTAATTTAAAAAATGAAATATAAAAAAGCGAAGAATAAAGAAGACGGGAAAGTAGAAGAACGAAACAGAGAGAAAGAGAAAGCTGGGCGTGGGAGAGAAAACTAAGAAACGGATTAAAGGAGGATGAACAAAGGAAAGTAAGAACAGTAATAACGGCAAATAATCAGGTGACGCCAGGAGACTCATAAGAAGGGACGGCGAAATTATAATTGTTCCTGTCCGGTGAGGTGCTGAGTACCTTTAAGCACGTATCAGTAGCTGGGGTGTCTTCTGACTACCACAGAAAGTAATTCAGAGAGGGGGGAGTGGGGAAGGAGGGAGGGAGAGAGAGAGAGAGAGAGAGAGAGAGAGAGAGAGAGAGAGAGAGAGAGAGGGAGAGAGAGAAGAGTGTTTGCGAATTAGAGAATGAGGGAGGGGCGAGGGGATGGGAGTCAGGAACCAAGATAGATGGATAGAGAGAGTGGGAGAGATAGATAAAGAGAGGGGGAGAGAGAGAGAGAGACAGAGTGAGGGCCGGCCCAGGTAGAAAAGGATGTAATATACCAGGGGAAAGAATAATATCATAGTTGATAGATTAGACTGTCCCTTGCAGCACTCGAACTTATGTCTTTTGAGTGCGGGCTGAAAAGATTAGACATTATACAACAGACATCGATAGATAGATAGATAGATAGATAGATAGATAGATAGATAGATAGATAGATAGATAGAGTGGCTGAGAGGGGGGTGGAGGGAGATAGATAGAGAGAGATCCAGAGGCATAGACGAAAAGAACAGGAAAGAGAGGAAAAAATAAAAGAATTAATATGACGTCTACCAAATTGCTTGTATCAAAGAGAACATGTACAGACCATAGATGGCAGAAAGATTTATTAGACTTTTGATCAATTCTATAATATTCCTCTCATCCAAAAAGAAGATAGACGCTTTTTTTCCCAAAGACGTCAAGAAATAAAAATGATTAATGAGACGACGTTTGCAGCGTTAAGATTATGAATTTATTATTCTTTCGGGATCGCCGCTTGACACTTAATCATTCGATATCTCTTCTTTGTTACAGCCTGTCTTACATGCTGTAATATTTCAAATGTTATAATATCATTTTAATGGTACGTGCGTGGGAGGAAAAAAAGTAGAGGGAGGTAAAGAGCAGATCAAAAGGAGACAGAAAAGCTCTCTTACATATGAGCGTGTGTTCCAAAAAAGAAGATAGTTTTGAAATTAAGAGAAAAATGGCAATTAACGTATCACCAAATATATTTTTTTCCAAGTATGACAGACTTTATTCTATATCTACCTTTTTTCTACATAGTCGCCTCCATTTTTAAGAGATTCTTCACTGAATGACGCAATCCGAGTACCGCCTGTGAAGTCCAGCTAGAAACTCCATGATTCATCTTGCAACTCGTCGCTTGAGTCAAACTACTGACCGGTTAGAAACTGCACTTCAGATGCAAAAACAGATCATAGCCACATGGTGGGAAGTCAGGGCTGTATAATGGCAGCTTCGACTGTTCTCATCTGAATCTTGTTATAAGATCCGGGGTCTGAGCAGACTTGCCAAAAGGGGCAACAATTAATTCTGATATTTACTGCAACACCCTGGCGAAATTGCGCTGAGCAATTCGAAATAAATGACGCGGGATGCTGAGCTCGGGCAATTCTTTTGCTTCGTGACAATGCAAAACGGCACACGTCTGCTCATACAGAACCAGCATGCTATAAAAATGTGGATGGGAACATTCGAAGAATCCATCATACAGCTCTCACTTGGCACCTAGTGACGTATCATCTGTTCTTGCATCTGATGCAGTTTTTAGCCGGTTAGCAGTTTGGCACAGACGGCGAGTTGCAATCAAGCATTGTTCCAAAAGAGATTTTTTTTTTTGAGAAAGAAAAGAAATTCCATTAGTACTTGTAGAGAAATGTCGTGTAAACATTCACCTTGTACTTTTCAGAGCATCATGCAGTGCACTAATTCATATGTCTTGGCGCATTATAGAAAGCCAATTTTTACCCAGATTAGATCGTTTTGGAGGGGGTGTAATGTTTAGGTTGCAACAGGGACGCCGGAAGTAGATTTAATTGGGGGGGGGGGGTCACAAATTAGTATAACAAATTTTGCAACACTTTCGGGCAAACATGACAGGCCTTACCTTGTCAACTTACATTCATCACTCCTAGACTTGGCTCTTTCGGTGTTTTTTCAAAGTGTAAAAACCATCTGCATAATACGTACGAAAACGATTATTTTGGGGTTGAATGTTTTCACACCAGAGTTAGAATAAACATATCACGGAGATATGTCTTTGATGTGTTTGACGGAAAACGTAGCCACTTTTGTAATCCCCTTGATTCAGGGTGCAAAGAAACTGACAAAAAGTCGCGTATTAAACTGTGCCACTTTTGTTTACTGTAGCATCGTATGTGTGTTATCATAGGGTGTTAGTCGTTTTCAAAATAGCACCGCTGAACAATTTCCCGAAGGCGGTGCCTTTGAGCCATCATGGTGATTCCTAATATGGCCACTTTATGCAGGCTTATTGTGATGGGGGCATTTAAAATATGTTTTTGATATGACTGGTCCACAATCTAAGTACACTCGTGTAGGAGGCATCTTTGGGGCCTTTTAATCTAAACGCTGTCCCTGACTGACTGCCCTTTCCTCGTACAACTTTCTCAAATCCGGACGAATCTTTACAAAAGTGTGGCATTGATATATCTTAATTTTCACACTGCGTCTATTTCATTCATCTTGCATTCTGTCTATGAAAGCTCACCTCAGAAAATCGATATAAAGTTGGATCGAATAAAGAAAATTGGCTAAGTTTACCAATTCTTCTTGAGCAGCGAATTCCCTTCACTGGCGACGTAATCGGATTAAAGAAGCTGAGTTTTCCGACCACGCTACCAGATTTCGAGTGATAAAAGTAATCAGTATCTTTCTATTCCCAAAGCTTGTTTCTTGTCCATGGCACTCCCTCACGATTGAGTCTGTGATTTGATACTCGTAGAGGTGCCAGTGTAACGTGTTTTTGTGCAGAGCTTCTCGTCTTCTCTCAAGGGTCAAGGGCACATGTGGCGGTTGTTTTTGATTTGTTGTTGTTGTTGTTGTTGTTGTTATTGTAAATCTTTTGTTTGTTTGTTTCTTGTTCTCTGTTTGTTGGGGAGAGGAAGGGGGGGGGGATGGGATATCATTTGTTTGATTCTTATCGATATTGATTATATATATATTGTGTTGTTGATGCGGTGTTTAATACCTACTTATATTTTTGGGTACATTATGTGTTTTTTGTTTG